CCACCCCACCTTACTACTGGGGACATGGGAGGGACCTCTCTGTCTCTCTCACTCCACCCACTCCGCCATTTCTCCTACTTTCCCTTTGTCGTGCCCCCCCGACAAATGGATAGCAGTGAACACATTACGGTGGTAAGGAATCTCTACGTAGAATTGGCAACATCTCAGAAGGTAAACGTAGAATGCTCATATGATACACTCAAATCTCAGATGAATGCGACCTGTGTTCACATCCCATGAAAATCAGACAATGTGTCATGGCATAACCGGCCCTTCAGTAATTGACTCACAGCAGATCACAACTAGGTGTGTTGATGCATCCCAAACTTCGTCGCCCGGCACCTCTTTCTGGCTAAGCTGGTATGCATGGCAGTTTGCTACCTTCACAAGATGCTCAGCGGTTCATACTCCTGCGACAGTTTTGCTATGGCCACAAGATGCTCAGTGGTTAACACACAGGATATTGTCGATCCGTGCATCAGGTATAAGCAAGTACAAAGTTGGTGAGGCAACAATACATTCAACTGCCTAGGCCTCTCTAGCATCAACTCACTGCAATCAAGCCAAAAGCCAAAAGCAATATGGATCGGCTGTTAACAACGCTTTTGTGCCTCTAGTTTGTTTAATTGTCTTCCAGCAGGCATGCATGACAGCATCACAGCGGAAAGAACAAGCCGATGTATTATCCAGTTCAGAAACTTAATTCCTACATGCCCTTTGATCAGGAAGTCCTCTGCGCATCTGTCCAGAAGACAATCACATGCACTCTTTCTGAAGCAATCAGCAAGACAAGGACAGGGACACACATTTCATGGTGTTGACCACGAGCCTCCCCCTTCACGCCTGCAAGCATCCATGGTGGTTTCAAAAAACTTGCAATTCATTTAATTGCATTGATCACAGCACTCAGCTTCAGTCTGTTAGTTGTCCTTTTAATGGAACTAGCTGAGTTCTAACAGGGGGGGGGATGGAGACTATCAACGACCCTAAGTCAAGTCTGCCCACCTTATCCCTTGCATGTCGAATGCAGATACAATAGGCCTCCCCTCAAATAAATCTGGATGATTGCACACCTGCAAAAAGGACATGCAAATCAAGGATGAAACAGCACTCTTCCATGCTCCTCTACCACTTGTACCAGAAGCCCAACGTCATACATCTGGCAAATAAAGGATGCCTGCACTTGACACTTGGCATGAGCAGGAGAACTGAGGACGAAACCGTCCTTTGAAGATGCAACACAGAGAACGAACCAATGAGTTAAATTAAGGAATTTCCTCGTCAGCTCATCCACAGATCAAAAGAATAAGCAAAAACCATGGAGCTCCGCCGGCTGCAGAGTCCCCACAAGTGAACACCTAGTGTATCAAAAGTTGTGGTAAATCTGACAATCTAAGAGTTTTTTCAAAGAAAAAGGGCAACGGCCTTGAGGTATCATCATTGAGCTGACCGGCCCAGGTAATTCAGAATAATTTTATTTTGTCCGTCTGATTGCATCTGGATTCGAACTCGGGTCTGCATTTCAACACTTCATGGGCGTACCAACTCAGACTACTACTGCCCTGGAACATTTTTTTGTTGTATTGGTTTTCCTGAACAAGAACCACGAAACTTGGGAGCATGGCATGGTATGGAGATTAGGCGTACTCGTGTGGGACCATGTTTTTTCATATATGATATTTCCGAATATTTCCCAAACAGACTGACACTTAATCTGCGGCCTAATGTTTTTCAGAATCTCTCTCTGCACTGAATAAGCACAAAAAGTCGCCATGGTCAAGGGGTTGGTCCCTGGTTGGACCGGGGGCCCCTCCCCCGTCCGGGACCTTCAGCCGGTCGGCCGGCCGGTCGACCGCCCCCAGCAGACCCCGGGTTGAGTCCAGCGCATTAGGCTGGCATCCCACGACCGCCCAGGCGCCCACAAGGCCGCGGCCTCCTATAAAAAAAAAAAAAAAAAAGGGCTTTTTGGGACCCACTTCTGAAAAACAACGAGCGGAGGATCTCGGCCGCTTATCTTTGCAGATCAGCGGAGGACAACCGTCGCGCGCATTTTCTCAAAAATTGGGGGGGTCCACCAGGCCCCATGTTTCAATTTGGCATAGTGTGGTCCAACAGACCATGGACCAGAAGCCATTGGTGGGACATACTCATCCATTCTCAGCCATGAAAGAATTTCTATACAAGAACAGTGGCTGTCCTGAGGTTACATGCTTCTGCAACATCACTAAGCTCTGGGGAAAGAGTTATGGGTTTGGGTTTCGGCTGTCTGAGGTGCAAGCCCTAGAATGGACCTGGCTCCACTACATGTATCTGGACAGACTGTCAGGCGAGATACTTTCGGACTGAGGACATTGATGACCCATCATATGTTAAAATAAAATAAAATAAAATAAAAACAGAAAATGCTCTGCCTGCACGAGCTGAAACCTGCATCCACAACTTTTCTGCTGTCAAGCTATACTCTGGAAAAGTTATAAGTTTTGGCAAGGATCCATTCATATCATGTCTCGTTTAGCTGCAGGATTTTAATGGCTGTTGGCGTAGTCCAGAATGCCCTCTGCTGCTGAATTGAAGTTCTTGGGCCACGGGGGGTTGGATAAGTAACCTTGCTTACTCGGCCACTCCCTCTGAAAGCGACACCTCCATGAATATCCCAATAATATCCCCACCTACCCCTGGGGCACCCCCCAAACAAAATTGGACCTTGAAAATTCTATTCCAGATTTCGACAGCTCTTGAAGAGCGCAGTCAGAATCCACCAAAAAATAAAAAATAAAAAATCATTTGGCTTCATTAAATTTTATTAAACTTTATTTATTAAAAAACGATTTCCCCGGTTCACCCCCCCCAGGCTGGTCCGGCTCCAGTTGGACCAGGAGCTGAACCGGCCGGTTGCCGGACCAGCCCTGCGTGGTCACTGGTCAGGCCATCCAAAATTTCTTACACTGCCACAAGTAATGCACCCCCACAAGCTAGTACACCAACCCTTCCCACAGCCGCCACCGGCCTTAGTTGACAAGGAGGCGAGCAGTGGGTTTACTCGATAAGCAAGTACCTCCACATTCGCCAAACGATTCTTGCCACATTTAGGGTGACCAGGGTGGTGGTGGGCAAGAAGAAGAAAACAAAAGAAATGGAGACAAAGAAAGGAGACGAAGACGGCAACGAACAGGAAGACAGAGGAAGGAGGAGGCGGAAAAGAACACCATGCAGATCTTCCTGTTGACAGGAGCAGAGGGCCACCCTCAGGTCGTGCACTGAACATAGTCAGGACCGAACTACCCTACACTGGCCTACAGGCATTTTGCGCTGAGGCCACCCCAGGTGTTTGCCTATTCGCAACCCGGCTACACCACCCAGAGGTAGGTTCACGATGGACTAAACTAGCCCAGGTATCACAACTGAAGCCCAGATGTATGCAAAGTCCCCTCTGATTTCCCTATCCTCAGGCCAGTTATTTATTTGAAGTTACTTTCAGAAAAAAAAATGATTAGACTCTGAATTTAGGAGTATTTACTGTTCTTTAGTAGGTTTGCTAATAATTTATTTATTGCCTTTATAAGTTGATAGTAACTTGATAGTAGTTGATACTCATTTCTTTCACATTTTCTGCAATCCCTTCTCTATGTCTGTACTTGCCACTCATCTACATGTTACCAGAACCAACTACTTAAAGATACAGTCAGCATCACCCGTAGTCCCGATAGGCTTACACCCTGTACAAGAATAACCGGTGTGAAGAGCCTTCCAGCTTCAGCCTAGTAGAGGCAGATCTGGCACAACACGTACACGGGCACACCCAGTTGTTCCGCCTAGATTAGGGGTAGTGTACAGAGAAAACGGCAAAACCATCACTGACAGAATCACAAGGAAAAGACATCTTACTTTGCGAAGCTGCATTAACACATTGATCAAGCCGAGAAAATTGCCACTAGCTAGTGTGGCCTGCGTTTCGCAGCTGGCCATAAAATCTTCATACCTACACCACAAAGTTTTCCAGCAACAGAATCAACAGAGAACCCACATTAGAAAGGTGCGGCAACTTCGAAGCCCATAGGCATCGACTACAACTACACACAGAGACTGCAAGAGAAAGGAACGGTGCGCATGCATCATAACAATTATTTCACCCCGAGTTCAGCCAAGCGAGCCCGGCCCAGTCTGGAATCAACCACTGTCAACTTCACGGGTAAGCGTGCTCGACCATGGAGAGCAGTCCTCCCACAGAACAACAAATTTATCCAACTTCACGGATAAGCGTGGATCTAGGGAGACTAGATATGGTGGCTGGCATTCCTTGTCAATCATTCCTTAGGAGGAGAACAGAGAACCAACGCTGTGTGATTGAACTGCACACACCCATCAGCTGCTGATAAACAGACTCTGAGTTCAAATCCGTGCTGGGATGTTGATGCACTGTTGAATGAATGAAGTAACTGTGAAGTACCAGGGGGCCAATCAGGTCAGCAACGACACCTCAAGGCTGTTGCCCTCTTTAGAAAAATGCCAAAAACAAAAAGAGGAGAACAAAGATTTGTGCCTCACTCCACTCTCTCTCCCCCTTCTGCGCATGTGCGATTGACACGTCTCTCATAGATCCAAACGAAATCCTCCAACAATAGTTCTATCTGCACCACAGCATTAGTGTATACACCACACCATTAACTGGCCTTTGTTGTGCCGTTTTTCCCCTTTTCTAAACACAAAGGCTCGAGTTCAATGGGACACTGGAACTTTCCAGCATGAGACTGGTCTTTGGACCGAATGGGCATGCCTGTTCCTTTCCTTTCATTCGCGTGCAGAACTCGGCATCGGATACCCTGCAGCAGCATCAGACCAACAAGATTTGAAGGTCTTCAATGGTTGACACTGTACTGGGCAGTAAGTGTATATGGATGCCTAGATGTGCATATAGAAAAAAAGAACAGAGAATACAAGAATGCCCACTATCAAAAATGTGCATATGGACAAAAAGAGTGAGTCGCTATTCCACTGCCTAATAGAATGCTGTCATTCAGCAAAGATATTGGACAAAGTCAACTACAACTCTGGAAATTACTTACAGGTTCCTTTGCCGCTTTGACAGTCTGCACCGGAGAACATGCTCATGTTTCTGGGGAAGCTGCTTCTCAACATCCGACTTCAACCGCCGCAGCAGAAATGGCCGGAGAACATTATGCAGCCTATCAACAAGCTCCTTGTTTAACACCTCCTGTCCTTCAACCATGCCTGTCAAGTATTCAGAGAGTCGGAACGAAATTTAGGGCAGCAGCATCCATCACCATAACTACCTGCTCAGCATGTTACTAAAGGCGGTTGACAACTTCTTTATAGGTCAGCGTACTTATGGCAAGCAGCTTACGACAGCCAAAAGCATGGTCTCATGCTAGAAGTGACCACCAGCATGCTGATGTAGGTCGTCAAACAACATAGCCTCAGAAAAAGTACTATTGATGCAATTGGAACCTGCTCGACAACAGACGCAATGCCGCAAATAAGACACCTAGTGTTGGCACGCTTAACACTACGCATGGGCGTACGGGCATATCAGTTTCTCAAAATTTCAGAGTCAATCAAGACGCTCAGAAACTGCTCTGCCTCTGATGGACTGGCATAATGGGAAGGTGTAACGAGCGTGAGGCTGAGGGTGAGCCGAGGGAGAGGAGATAGAGGGAGAGAGTGAGAGCACACACACACACACACTCACTCGACTCGACGGACTCGGACTGAGGGTCGGACGCAGACACAGTGGTAAGGCACAAAGTCGAAGTCTTGGATTCCGAATGCCGGTACAGCAAGTCACACTGAGTACGAGTACAGCAGCAGAGAACTGGTACGAGACTGCCCCCCGTACCGTACGGGGAGCTGGTATAAGTACCGGTGACACGTGCGGTACCAGGGGCATTTCTGCAAAGGTCCCGAGGGCAGAACTGAAAAATGCAGTATTCTGAAAGTGGCGCCCGAATTGCAGCATGGCGCCAGTTGTCCAAAATCCTACGGTACCAAAGGAGGGGTTTGGAAAAAGGGTGCCAGGCCGAGAACGGGATGCAGCCAAAACAGCAAAAGATAGACCAGGGATCGAGCCCTGGCGAAGTCCGTAACAGAAGGTCTAGGCAACAAATAACTTATTTGGAGTGATCACGACGGACATGTTCACACTCAAACAATGCAGAGAACAAGGGAGTTGAGGCTTGAACTCAATCTATCACAAGCTCTGTAGGCTCACCTGTTAGGGGGTTGCTGAACCAGTCCCGGAATTCGGAGTGGGACTGAAAGACATGTGGCATGAGGAAATGCATCAGCGACCACAGCTCCATTAGGTCATTTTGCAATGGTGTACCAGTCAGCAGTATTCTTCGCTTCGAATTGAAATTAAGAAGTGTCTGCCACCGCTGCGATCGCCAATTCTTGATCATGTGTGCCTCGTCAAGGATGAGATACTTCCACTTCTTTCGACGGAAGGCCTTCTGGTCCTGAATGACTATACGGTAAGTCGTGATGCACACATGGAAGGAATTACCCTTTGACCATCCCTGCCTTTTTACCTTCCTCTCTTTCGCATTTCCAAAATAGGTCAAGATCTTAAAAGCTGGGCACCATTTCATGAACTCTGTCTCCCAGTTCAGCATCACGCTTGTTGGCACAACGATGAGGTGAGGACCCCATATACCTTTCTCACATGCAAGATAGGCCAACAATGAGATTGTCATAATTGTCTTCCCTAGCCCCATTTCGTCCGCTAGGATTCCATTCAGCCTCTTCTCAAACATGGTTACCAGCCAATCCAGCCCTATGTGCTGATACTCCCTCAGAGAGTGTTTTAGTAAAAATGGAACCTTCGTTCTCACTTTTGTTGTCAAAAAAGTGTACCCTGTCGGTTGTGCTGACATTGCAGCCGCCGCTGCATCAGCTAGCCTCTCCTTGCTAGTTTTTCCTCCCTCCTGATCACCATCTTCCTCCCCATAAGCATCAGCTCCCTCCGCAGCTCCCACTGCTTTCCTGCCTTCTAATCCACTGCCATCTTCTGCCATTTTCTCGGCTCCTTCGTCACCAAGGGTTCCATCCCTGCCTGTCCCATCTACGGTATCTGTGCATCCACTGCATGGGAATACCCTGACATTTGGATCCTCTCCAGGTTGGTTACCAACCAATCCTGGAGCCTCCACCGCTGCTGAGGAATCATCAACCTGACCTGTTTTCGCATCCAAACCAGCGATATCTACATTGGCTGCTGTTGAAGTCACGCCATCGGCACAACGAGCTGCCAGATCCTCACTGTCTGCAGTCAGAATCGTCCCCATCGGGTTGGCACTAACATAATTACATGCCTTCAGGCCAGACATATTGAGACGTCCCTCCTCTGGAAATTCCACACCTACTGCATCTCCATTTTCCTTCAGTGAACCCAAGGTAGCCCCACTTGTACTGCTACATACAACATGGCTGCCCTCCTGACGGACATCATTATTCCTAATGTTCTGATCTAAATAAGCTCGCGGTGCCGCATCCCTCACCACTTTTCTCCTATCCAAAGTTGCCTCAGCATTTGATGCAAGCACACCCCCTCCTGCTTGTTTCTGGAGTTCTTCTTCACCTCCCTTCTGCCCCCTGTTCGCCCTCTTGTTCCGCCTCTCCATATCATTTACACACCCATCACCCTGAGACTGCAGCTGCACACTTCTACCTACTTCATTCTCCCTCAAAATTCTCGATGGCTGTTCATCCCTGTCCTCTGCCTCCAAGCTATCACTCTCAGCCTCGCTGTCTATCCCCTCTCGCTCTGAGCCCTGCTTCACATGCCCTGCAGCCTGTAGACAATGACCCTCAAACACCAAAGACCCAGATGATTTTGTTTTTCAGATTCAGTACATCTTGCAGACCGATACTACTCGAAAGGTAAGCACATGCCAAACAATGGTTTGGACTATGGAGTCTTTGGACATGTTTTCTCACAGCTTGTTTTCTCCAAACACCACCATCATCATGTACACAATTATCCAAACAAACACAACCACTTCTACGTATCAGAAAAATACAAGCTGGTACGATGATGGTCCCAGAACCTCGACAATTTGATAAGCTGACCCTCAACAATCTCTCTCTCTCTCTCTCTCTCTCTCTCTCTCTCTCTCTCTCTCTCTCTCTCTCTCTCTCACACACACACACACACACACACACACACACANTCTCTCTCTCTCTCTCTCTCTCTCTCTCTCTCACACACACACACACACACACACACACACACACACACACACACACACACACACACACACACACACACACACACACACATTGGAGGTTTCTGGCCTTCTGATGCTTCCGCCAAAACCCGTATGGTTGGCCATTCAGGAGGTGCTTAGGACCCTTTCAGATTATGAGGGGTAGCCTTGGCTTTGATGATGCTGTTAACAACAAAGGGTGACCAGAAACTTTACTTAACCCTTCTGTTTCTAAGACATATAACATCACCTCCAAAGGCTTTTACAGCCCTATTATCCCTTTCTTCCATGGCTCCCAAACATTGCAATAGGAAACAACCCCAAATTCAGTCTCCACCCCATGGCATTCAGACAACATAAGCTGTGAGGTCAACAGATTTCTGTTCACGCCTATTCAGACTTATTCGAGCGAAATTCCACAACAAAGGGGTATTTTCTTCAGCACCAAAGACAAAATCTGGCTATATGCTGGAACCTCCGACCGAGTGACGCAAGCAAAATAATGATAATGAATGCGTCGGTGCGGACAATCAGCGGGGAAGTCATGTGTTGATACATGTGCTGCGCCCCTCAACAACTACACGCCAGACATCCCTGCTTGGGATGATGATATAGTCCTGCACTCTATGCATCAATAAAGTCAGGCAACCTGCTACAGTATGCCAATTACAAAACCAATTCCGCCCATTAACTGCCACTGTATACGAGCCTGTCTTGTCCAACCTGCAGGTTCGGTAATGCCCTCGTGGCGATTGCATCAGAAACTATTCTTACTACTACAAGTTAGTAAACCTAAATCTCCTGAATCAGATCCCTCACAACATCCGTTAAAATTGGAGCAATGCAGAGAATATTAGCATATCCAATGTGCAAGGATGACACACACAAATCATGAAAAGGAAAAGGCTCGAAAGAAACAAAGAGGGAAGAAGGAACCCGGACTGCTGATCAGCGCAGCGATGCACTGGCAGATGCAAATGTGTCTGTACAACCACTACCAGCAGCCGCTTCTTCAGCTGCAAATGAATCTGCTCTTCACGACCCTAAACCTAGAGGGAAATTTTCAACCCATAGAGTTCATTGCCTGTGTCCTGCTATGTAGTGTTCACTGACCACTTCATTTCCTTTCAGTTGGGTTTCCTTCATCTAGCCAAGTTGGAAACATGGATCTACCTGGTTGCTTCTTCTTCAATTCTGAATGAAAGCTCTCCACCCTCTTGCAAGACTGCAGGGGAATTCTTAGCGTCGTGCCATGCCATACAGTGTTCACTAGCCAGTTCTCCATACCTTTGCTAAAGCTGGAAAACATGGATTGCCTGAACCCCATAAATACATGTAAACCCGATACACTGTTTAACGGACAACTTTAACCTCATTTGGCACAAAGAGATCACTTGCTCCATGCGAACCTGACACACTGTCTAGCCACAGAAATCCCTTTGCGACATAACAGACTACCTGATATCGAGAGTGTGAGACTCACATGCGAACAGGGGACAAGTGCAATCGACGGAAAAACTGTCAAAACACCGAACCAACAAGGCACCAATTCTCAATCACGACTACCGATAGCTGTTCCGATGAGAAGCACTACGGCACAGAAAGGAGCATTGTCCACAGAAACACAGCGAAGCATCAACAAAAAGGGCCATACTCCCCCCTAAGCGACAGGGTTGAGAATGCACCACTTGTGTGTTCTGAGATTCTCACCTCTTCTTCTTTCATGTCCACTAGCCTTGGATTGTATTCATAGTCATCCTGCATGCACCCAAATTTCCAGCCAAGAACACAGTGACTGCTCTCAGACATGCTCAAACAAGGACCATAAGGTATGGCCCAAACATCTTTGTTGAAAAGGTACCATACTCCCTTCACCGAGTAAAAAGACGGGTAAATTCACATCAACCTTCACAATACAAACAACTTTGACAGCTGCGAAAATGATAAGAGTCGTGTCAAATTTTGTTACACTTTTGAGACCGTCTGCAGGCAGGAACACAAAAGGAGTAGAAGAAGGCAGGGCGTGAGTAAGCCCCTCGAGCATTGATGCCTCCTCTTGTGTGTGTAGTTTTCCAAGAGTGGCTCTGACCATGCACTCACGAGAGAGAGAGAGGGAGAGACAGAATAGAGAAACAGAGAGAGACAGACAGCAAGACAAAGAGCCAAAAAGAGAGAGATGGGTGTAGGAGTCGTAGGACAAAGCAACCCATGACACAAGTGCGTAGTTGCCCACGTCCTCGTGCGCGTTATAGAGAGAGAGAGAGAGAGAGAGAGAGAGAGAGAAAGAGAGAGAGAGAGAGAGAGAGAGAGAGAGAGAGAGAGAGAGAGAGAGAGAGAGAGGATGGGCATCCCATAACACAAAGCAAAGTTGTCCACAGGCCTTGTCCACGCCTGTGGAGTTAACAACCTGGAAATACCCCTCCACGACCTTCAATATGGATAGCATCAAGTACTTTGACCAAGCGATAGGTTTCAGTGGGAGGGAAGAGAATCGTTCACAACTTAACACACCCTCCCTCAGTGACCACCCCTATTCTGATAAACAAGATCCAAAAACCTTTTGCAGGTGACGTTAAAAGCCATAAATATCCAGTTGCAGCCTACGCAGGGGATTTCCAACCCTTTAAAGCATAGGCAGGCCGGCTTAAGCCCCGAATTAAATCCTAATAAACAGAAAATAAAAACCAGGCGATAGTGAATATTACAGAGGGAACTGACAAAAGATTGAAAAGAAGTCAATGCCACAGCCGAAAGTCGGGCACCTGCAATTTTACTGCGAACCTGGAAATTTTGCTTGGTGACACTGAATTTCACTGGTAGCAAGTACGATGACCAAGCAATGGGTTTCATAGTGAGGGAAGAAAGTAGTGCACACCCTCCCTTACTGATGATGCTTATTCTAATTAACACTTTCCCATGTCCAGGTGACATTAAACCCCATAAAGACCAATACTTTCCCATGTCCACGTGACATTAAACCCCATAAAGATCCAAAAACCAATACTTTCCCATGTCCAGGTGACATTAAACCCCATAAAGACTGTAGCAGTGTACCCAGGTGACGTTAGACCCCTTTAAAATGTCCGCAGGTCAGCTCAAACCCCTTTATCGAACATAGCACCAATATACCATCGGACTCCAAATCGTTCAAATTCGCTTTGGTCATGAGAAGTATCATCCGACTGGGTCACCATCGGATGTGCAAAGTAACATGACATCTGAAAGCAACACCGGCGTTGGCAAAGGCCACACCCGGCAGCGGACCCTTTTTCTTTTTTTTGTGAAGTGGACTAAAAGATCACACACAGAGACATAGAGGAAAAAACTTTAAAAAAGAGAAACAAAAAAAGTTGAAATCATCGGCATCTTGACATGCAAAGTAACATGACATCTGAAAGCAACACCAGCGTTGGCAAACGCCACACCCAGCAGTGGACCCTTTTTCTTTATTTTTGTGAAGTGGACTAAAAGATCACACACAGAGAAATAGAGAAAAAAAGAGAAACAAAACAAGTTGAAATCATCGGAAAAACGGTTCGAAAACCCCTTCATCGAACTTAGCACCAATATACCATCGGACTCCAAATCGTGCAAATTCAGTTTGGTCATGAGAAGTATCATCCGACTGGGTCACCATCGGATGTGCAAAGTAACATGACATCTGAAAGCAACACCGGCGTTGGCAAACGCCACACCCGGCAGTGGACCCTTTTTCTTTTTTTTGTGAAGTGGACTAAACGATCACACACAGAGAAATAGAGAAAAAAAGAGAAACAAAAAAAGTTGAAATCATCGGCATCTTGATATGCACCGGCAATGTCAGCACAGATCAAGGCAGAAAACCGCAACACCATTGGATACACAAAGTAACACAACATCCAAAAGCAACACTAACGTTGCCAAACGCCACACCCGACAGTGGACCCTTTTTCTTCTTTTTGAGAAGTGGACTCAAAGATCACACACAGAGAAATAAAGAAAAAAAAGAAGACAAAATAGTATAAATCAGATGAATCCTGACGTGCAGCACTGGCAATGTCAGCACAGATCAAGGCGGGAAACCGCACCGTGTGAACAAAACCTTCACAAAAGGGACAAAGGAAAACGAAGATTGCCGGGGAGGAGAAGACAATCAATAGTACGACGATGACTCCAGTCGGCTTGAAACAAAACAAACCTTCAGAAACTACGATTGAGGACAGGAGATGAAAATCACCGCTGATCAAGGAGAAGATGTTCGATAACTGATCAATGCCTCCGGTGAGCCCAAAACAAAAAAAAGAAATTTCAGTGAAGGCAACAACATGTCACTTTAGAGGTGTGCTGACATTTCCACATTCGTGAAAACCATGATCCTAAGGCTCAGACAACGCAAAAACACACAAAGTTTGGCATACAGAGGACACCCACGGCCCTCTGGGCTATAGACTATCGATTTGATATTGATGTTGAAGTGCATCAATCGACCATTTTCTCAATTCACGGCCAAAACAGAAGCCCTCAGTACACAAGCATCCAATTGACCTTCAAAGGAGTGAGGGACAGTGGATGAGCATGGCCCTCGCTTCACTACACTCGACTCTCAAAAACAATAGTGTCAGACTCTCACAACGCTGAGGAATTCCCGTCATCGCTCCAGTTGCTCTCAAGGGCAGGATTCTCAAAATTCGACAGCACTACCCAACAGCTACACGGGTGCCATGTCCGCCATGACTCCAGACCCACTCTTAAAATACGAGGGCGCTTCCAGTGTCCGACCAGCCATCCTAGAACAAATGGTGTTGCAGGCTGAGAAATCAATCTAGAGTGGTCTCGAAGGTAGACATCGGACAGCTCTTGGAGCGACTGCGAACTCTCCAATTTCAAGAGTCCTCTCTGACAACTCTGCGAAGGGGTTTTCAGGGCCCAATTCGAGAGCAAGTGGAGTGATGCTGTACTCTTATGCAACCCCACAGGCAAACGCGACAACCATTGCTACATTTCACACATGCCCTCCTTCGCAGACTCCCAATTTTTGTTCATAGAAACTTTTTTCCAGACAGATTCACCATGTCAACACATGTTTTACTTTATTGCAGGAGTCACTTTGATTGTGCACACATCTGGACTGCTGGTGAATGCTGCCATCATAGGTAGCAGTTCCAACCTTCTTGAAAACAACACATCCACAAAATGTAAGTCGTACACAGGTATGCAATAATGGACAAGTTACCTTCCGGTCACTGACAAGCTTCTCAATCGCAACTTTCTTCCTACGCCTCTGCCGAGCCCTTTGCCCCCTGTCATCAGCAACAGCTTTCCTTGCACATCCGCTGCTTAAAAATTGTCCTGGCATATCCACCCCGCCCACCTCCACATCCGTTCCCTCTCTCTTCCCAGGACCAATTGTTCCCAAGAATTCTCTGGGATCTACAGTAGAGTGGCCTTGGGCATAATTATCCTCCAAGTCCCTTGTCCCACGCACACTTCCACACACCTTCTCCTCCCTTTTCTGAACCTCCACATCCGACAGTCTCCTCCTCTCCTCCAACATTTCCAACTTCTGAAAACCAGCAGCGTCAATATCACTCGTGTCAACAAGATCCTTAGAGGCTGCAGCATCCAGAGGAACACTATTGTCCCCAGTCATTCCACCATCCTTTGTTGAGTTCTCGTTCCCTAATACTCCTTGTAGCACTTCCCACCTGGGCTTCTCCTCCTTCACTCCTATGTCTTCCCTCCTTGGCGTGGCAACAACTTTCCGCCCAACACCCATTACCTGATATGGCCCTATTGTATCCTTTCCCGGGGAATTGCCCCCATCTATGCTATCGCCCTCTCCTACTGTACATGCGTCGTACGCCCCTTCAGTCCATTGTGCACTCCCATCCTTGAAAGGAGCAATCACCTCAGAATTACATCCCCTAACAACCACCTTCCCCGCATTGCTTTCCTTCTTCTGTTCATCACCATAGACCACTGCTCCGGTCTTCTCATCCATCGGCGGAGAAGCTCCTGCACCGTCGTCAGCACATTCATCCTTGACAGAAGGACCATTTTCATTGTTATCCTCCTCTTCTTCCTCATCACTGTCCTCATCCTTATCACTTTCCTCATTGTCATCACGAAAATCGCCCATGGCTGTAACATACAAACATACCGGCAAAACTTTTGAATCAGAGATCGATCGAGGCATCAGATATGCACAAATTTTGTGAGACGAAACATAATCCAACAACATTACATGGCCAAACAAAGCCGTTGAAGGCTCAACTTCAATTCCAGACGATTCAGTCCGTTCTCAATTCTCATAAACTGTCACTAGTCATTAAGCCCATTGCAACTTTCTAAATAAGAAAGACACAATGGCCGCACGACCACGAAGTCCAGGAATGCAGCGGCTGAGAGGGAGAGAGCAGGACACATAGATGTGTGTGCCTATACAGCATACTTCGTATCCCTCAAGACGGCCCCGTGATCATCTCCGCCTCTGGTTGTCAAATACTGCCCCATGTGGTTTAGTTACTCTCCTTACTATCCCCCAATTCAACCCCCATCTACATTCTTCTGGTGCTAGTTGTTGAATCCAATGCCACATGGCATGCTTAAACTTGCAATCCCTGTCACCTCCTCATCCCCTGCCTCACTATGCATTTTCTAGTATGACGGTTCACCACTTCATGATCGTTCCACTTGGTGCTCTTACAACCTCCCACTCGTCATGATGACCATGTAACGAGCATATGGTTGGGCAGTTTCTCCTGATCAGACCTTCTGCAATGCTCCAGGTCATTTTTGTTTTCGACGTTTTATGTGTAGAAGCAAATTCTCAAATTCTCCAAATCTATGACCAGCCATATCTTCAGTAATCTGTAAACCAACAAAATATTTTCCATTATAAACTTGTGCAAAGTGAACGACAAATTTAGACAAAAGCTACGTGACCAAAATTTCCCACTCTGGCGAGCCACACACGAATACTTTTTCAACAGATAAGCCTCAGAGGCGCACCGCAGGGGGCAACTGCACAGGATTAGCCCGGCCTTAAGTGAAGTACGGGATGTAGAAGGAACTGTGGGCCAATAAGAGAAGGGCCAGGCGCTTAGATAGTCGGTGGAGCTGTCCAGAAGCTTCCGGTAGCGGAAGGCTCACCCAGGTGAAGAGATTGCGGCCTCCCTCGGTTCACAAAAACACTGGAGGCCGCTGCAACGAAACATTCAGGATTTTGGAGGTTGCAGACCAGCATTTGCTAATTTTAGCCCAGCGTAATGGTAGAGCCCCGGGCTGTTGACAACAACGAAGGGCAGAGCTGCCACAGTACACCAGCTCTAGCGGCAGCAGCCATAGCTACACTCGATGTAAGAGGGGGGAGTACCGACTGGGAGGACACAGGGAAGAGGACGTAGATGAGACTTCGGTCAATGGGTGTTCTCAAAAACTGGTGTGATTTCGGCTTTGTAAATCTGTTTTCGACTTTGCTCTTATATCCTTGTTCCGCTTTGTGTCTCTCGCAACCTTGAAAATTTGTGTTCTTGTCCTTGCACTTCCATATCCTGTCCTTCTGAAGCAAGGCTGCAGTGGGCAACCACTTGTCGACATGTGATTCCTTAAATGTTACCCAACATAGTACTAGTCAGCTTCAATCTTTTTTTCTTTTTTTTTGAATAAACACTTGCTTTTGGTCCTTGGTCCTTGCCCATTCTGAGGAGCCCGAGTTCGGTTCCATTCCAATTGCAAGAGTGAAAAGTTAAAAACTGTACGCAACATACCTACTCCACGGTTCCTTCTGGCTTGGGCAAAGGACCCCTGGCCAGCACTGATTGCTCCATCAAGGAGGATTAACTGTCAGATTTCCTTCCTGTTCCTCTCACTCTGAACCTTTGCTAAGAATGTCATAAGGTCGTATCGAAAGAAAGAACTAACGAAGTTCTTGATTCATAAGATCTCCGCTGGAAAGGACCATTCACAAGATGTCTGCAGAAAAAAGGAAACCAATCTGAACAGTGCAGGAGCCAACCAATACCTCTATACCGCTTCAGGAGCTCTTCGATAGGGAGTTCACTCTCCCTTCTCAGCGCATCCAACTCCTCATCTACAGCTACCCTCCCTTCATCAGTCTGCATCAACGCCTCCTCAGCTTCTAATGTGCTCTCGTCATCCTGGCAAGGGAAGGAAAACACAAAGAAACAGCCAAACCATATCAGAGAACATCCTGTGCAGCCATGCGCACCGACATGCCAATGCCGACATCGTGTAACAGTTGTCAATTCAAAACTGCAGCAAAACAAAACGCCACAGACACAGGACCGAGCGGCCTAGCTCAGTTGGAAGAGCAAGAAAGCGGCATTCAGGAGGTTGTGGATTTGATTCCCCACAGTCCCCAATCGAGGCTCTCCACCTCCTGAGGCAAGCTGCGCGTTCACCAGCTGAGATAGTCAGCTTGTCCCTCCTGGTGGTTGGTGGAGAATGCCACCCGTTGCCAGGGGTTAGGTTGAACCCTGAGGGGATGGGCTCAACCCATAGATCAAGGTGTGTATCATTCCTTGCTAGGGAGGTACTGGGAGGTATATTGAGAGAAGGATATATCTTAGTTTAAGTGGTCATGGGTCTGCAAGAGCTGATCACAACATTATAACATGCGGAACGAAAAAGAGCTCCCGGATAAAAGGGATCACTGGGAGGCAAAGCAAGTGCTCACATCACTCAGACTAAGAGGAATGTTTCAACAACTCATCCTACAGACCCAAATCCTATACGCTTTCATCAGACCGTGAGACAATGCACTGGCCTGCTCAGCTGGCACAGAGATCGCCCGCATCCAAATTGCAGACATCAAGGAGTAAGAGGGCTGTACAAAAGAACAAAATACGCTCAAAATTCTGTGCACTTTCCAGATTCTATTTTGATCCAACCCACTCAACAAGCATTCCCACAGCCAGTGTCCAGCCTCTATACATTGGACAACCTGTAAAGAATAATGACAAACTAATTCAAAAGAATCAAAAAATTTCGCAATCCCCTTCTCTTAATTTGGAAAAAAGGATTCGAAACCAGACAAAAGATACAGTCTTCTATACAAAGTCGTAACATATTTCGGTTAAGACAAATTCACCATAGCCATGCGTCAGAGAGACCAGAGTACCTACCCAGTGAACACTCGCAGCATATTCACAAGAATAGTGTCAGAAAGATCAGAGCAGCTAGGTAATGAACACTGGCACTATATCTACAAGGAAAGTCCTGATTTTTCTCGGTGCATGAACAAACACATACACATGCCATCTAGGTGATTACCTCCTCCACATCGTCGTCATTCAGTTGAAATTCGTCATCATGTTCAGCAGTCTCCCGAGCGTCATTTGTGTGTCGGGCATCCCGATCCTTTACAGCCAAGTGAGTGGACCTCCGTGTGCATCTTCCATCACGCCCTTGTTTAAGCATTCCAGCATTGGTGGGAACAGTTCCGATGTTCTGTTCACTGAGAGCTTCCTTAGGGCTGCATTTCAACAGAGCGCTGTCTTCCACATGCAGACTCCCAGTATTTTCTTGCTTAGCAGTATGAGCTTCAGCTGCTTGAATGGCAGTGCAAGTCTCAACCGGGGGTGACAAACGTGCTTGGATAGACAATGATTCTACAGGTGGCGATTTTGGATGCGGCATATGAGCGTCCACCACAGTCAAAGGACCAGCAGCTGGGCCGCTGACAGGAGAAGCAGCCCTGAGGTTCTCAGCAAGCATTGAAGAATATCTGGACATACACACGCACATGTGCACACACCCACCCACACCCACACAATACAAAGACACAAACATGCGCACACACATGCACACACACACACACACACACACACACACACACACACAATACACAAACACAAAAGGATCAGGGTGGCCCTGCAGCTGTGCCCAAGAATTGGAAAGCACTGTCAGAAAAAGGCATATTCGTCGATCCTGCACGAACTCTTCGATTGTTCAGGAACAGGCACTGCAACCTGACAACTCAAGTGCACAGAAGACTAACTCAACATTCTCGGACAAATAAATACACACTCATGCGAACAAACGAAAAACATCATTTTTGGACAAACAGATGCAAGGAGCCAGCATGTGAGAACGACAAAAAGTTCGAGCAGCAAGAGCTCATTCAAGACTATGCATGAGTACACCAAACTGAAAGCAGAATGACCAGGCCGAGAGACTACCAAAGTATTTCCGTTTTCTTTTTTTTTTTCCCCTGACCGAAAGGATTCTGGGGAGCGTCAGTCCGGTTACTTTCCCCTCGGCAAGTCGTAATAATACAACCTTCACACACTCTCGCTTCCTTCCCTGTGTTCAGACTGGAGACTGAGGTCTGGGCCTACCCATAGGCAATCCCTACCCATCCGGGTTGTGGCCCAAGTACCTGTGCGGTCTGATCCCAACGAAGGGCCTACCCCGTAGTTAGTTACTTGCGCAGCCTGCACCCAACTTCCAAACAGGCCGAGGTTTTGACTCAGGGCCACAGCTCACTCACTACCTCCTATAGATAGACACAAGCACAGACGGAAAAGGGCATCCTTTAAAACCGGAACAATTCATAGAATATTAGCATGGGCCCTGTGCAAGAACGGAATAAAAGTAAAAACAAAAAAAAAGACACGAAGAAGCCATGCAAGGAAATATTACTTCAGCCTACAGTACTATCACATATTGCTGAAGGAATGCTTCAATAGTCAAGGTCCACGCTTATGTTGTGCTTTGACATCTGACAAATTAACTGTGCAACCGGACCTGTTGCAGCTTCTCATGTAGTGAACCAAACGGACACTGGTAGATTTATGAAATGCTGGAGCAGAGAGGCATAGCCCTGCACTGACCACTCACATGAACACCAAGTTGTGAGTGAGTGAGAGAGAGAGAGAGAGCGAGCGAGAGTTATAATGGCCAGACAGGTCAAGATGATATCAGTGTCAGCACGCCCTTATAGGGCAGCCACCAAGCCATTAGTGATCGTGTTACTTAGAAGCAACTTCCAATTGTAAACGCATGCAAGCAGATGTGTTCGCATTGACACCTGTAGTCATTCAGTAAAGTCGCACTAATTCGACTTTTCTTGGACTTGGGTGCAGCACATTTGAAAGGTAACAGTGATATTCATGATGTGATGCAAATGGTAAGTCAATGACAGTGGACGCATACTGATAATATCAACGTCATCTGACAAGGTAGACTGCAATGAAAATATGCTCAGTAGAGTCAGTACACAAAAACCAACAGACAGGTCTTGGCTTGCCTGCACCCTTGACCGCGGGGGACAGAGTTATGGGCTTCCTGGAAATCACGGCAGAGTTGCTGCTAAAGTGGACAAGAAGCAACAAACAACTGGCAAAAGCGAGGGAGAGAAGGCAAGAAGATCGGTCTTGCATGTGTAAGCAGTGCAGAAAGGGCGGGAAATAAGGGGTAGAAAGGTGGGATAAAAATCAGAAATCATCATCAGTAACAGACATTGCGACAGAGTGAAGACAGCAGAGCATGTAGGCCATTGCAACAAAGTAAAGACAGCAGAGTATGTGGGCCATCGATTCCACCTGCGGCCACCCCTCACGTCGTCTTCTTTTCTTCCCACTTTTTGTGATCCATCAAAACCTCAAACAATTCCTTTCCACAAATGTCCTTAAACCGCCACCATGTCCAAGGCTGTTTTTATCCAACTGGGGCAGGCACAATTTTCTTTCTTTTTGGCTGGTGGTGGCTCCGCCCATTTTGGTCAGCAGAGTATGTGGGCCATCGATTCCACCTGCGGCCACCCCTCACGTCGTCTTCTTTTCTTCCCACTTTTTGTGATCCATCAAAACCTCAAACAATTCCTTTCCACAAATGTCCTTAAACCGCCACCATGTCCGAGGCTGTTTTTATCCAACTGGGGCAGGCACGATTTTCTTTCTTTTTGGCTGGTGGTGACTCCGCCCATTTTGGTCCAGCAACCCCAAGCCCCAAATTTGCAGCTAACATTTTCACAGCTATTCGTTATGCCTGCAGAAATCCATGGTAACCCGACACAGCTATGTTACCAGGAGGTTCACTCAGAATGTCTGTCTTGCTTGTCGTGCCTAGACAACTCTGCACCCATCCGCCTAGGATGACTGGCCAAGCCAGAAAAGACCTAGCAGGAATATCCGTCTCCCTCGGCCAACCAGCATGGGGGCGTACCCCTGGTTCAGCACCATATGCATGGAAACCTTTGAAACCGGCATGCGAAATGTGTCCGCACGTGCATCTCTATTCCAATGATGTCACAATAGACACACGAACGAAATGCACACACTCGTGCTGTGTGCCTTCTTCCCCCACTCCCTTTCCCTCTCTTTTGCTGCCCGTGCCAGTGCTATATCTCTTCCCTTGTATGTGTGTGTGTGGACACTCTCGTGCTGTGTGTCTTCTTTCCCCACTCCCTTTCCCTCATTTTGCTGCCCGTGCCAGTGCTATATCTCTTCCCTTGTATGTGTGTGCGCGGAGATTCGTCTACCACTACCAACCAGTGCAGGGGGGTTGCCCCTAGTTCAGCAGCATATTCATGGACACCTTAGAAACCCGAATGCAAAATTATTGTGTGTGTGTACATCTATACTCCTCTGATAATAAAGCTGTCGGAATATTCATCCTTACAAGGGTGTCCGTTCAGTGTTTGCACAACCGCGTACAGGAGTGGCCATCGCGGCTGGCCAGCCAGAGGTTTGGCAGGCTGCCCAGAGCCGCGTTTGGGCTCGATAGCCCTAAGAGGTGTGGAACCATCGGGAGGAAGGCTCGAAGAGCCTGGCAGTGGCCTTGAGGACAGTGATAAGGCTTGAAGAGCCTAGCAGTGGCATTGACGGCAATGGTACGGCCATATCACGCCTAATGCGCCACATCCCATCCGATCTCATAAGCCTGGTGTCAATGGGACTGACTAGTAGAGGGATGGGTGACTGAAGTCGAAGGACCAGAAGGCCCGAGAATTGGCACCATGTTTTTGGCCACATGATCGTGAGATTGTGCAGCCAAAAAGCGCTGCACGGAGAGCCCAAAAGGCCTGGAAAAGCCTAGATCTGGCCAAGATCTGAGCCAAGATCTGGCTCAATCTGGCCAAGATCTGAGCCAGATTCACCCAGCCACCGGCTGGCCATAGGGGAAGGCTTGAAAGGACTAGAGGGGAGGTCCTAGAGCTGGCACAAAAAAAAAAAAAAAAACTCCCAATCTGGTGGACCAAACGGTTCAAAACCCCCATTTGGAGGAGGAAATGGGCCCCCAAGGGAAGGGCCTACTGGCCTGTGAATCTGGTCATATTAAACGCCAGATTCACAATCCAGAATGGCCTGTACGCAGGCCAAAGTATCTAGGCCCTTCCAACCAGTAGTACCACATGAATATGGCCTGAGAAGAGGCCGGATTCATCCTGTCGCATTGGATGGAAGTCCTGGAAAGGCCTAGGGGTTGGGAAACCACTAGAGGCCAAGTGGAAGATACTGGACGCCCGATCTACTACATCAATGGCATAGAAACTTTTGCCAGGTGTATGATACTAGAAGCCCCAAACCTGGTAGGTTGGGCTACATAAATCCTAAGTCTCCAATTAAGTGGGGCTTATTAGAGAATCCTTTTCCTATCCAACGTATATAGCTTGGCTAGCCCACCTCTTTCTCTGGTGTCGATCGAGGCGCGTTAGCGGAATTTCCCAGTTTCGAAATCGGAATTATATTATGAAAGCTTTAGACGCAAGATATGAAAGATATTGGCCGCCCGATCTACTACATCAATGGCCTGAAAACTTTGCCAGGTGTGGGAAGATTCTAGAAGCCCCAAACCTGGTAGATTGTTGCAAGCCGTGCAATCTTCCAACAGGACGACTAAGGCAGCTCAACAGCCAGGCAAGTGTGCGTGATAAGTCTTTAGCCTAGGCGAGAGCAGTTCACCCAGCTCACATCAGATTCTATAGCTGCTCATTTGTAGACCACGTGTGAGCTGTGAGCATGCAAGCAGCGAAGAAGCAGGTTAAGAGCAGGTTTATGAAGTCGTTTACCACTGTGTATAGTACATCAACGAATAAGCAAACACCCCGGACCAATGTCCCACAACTGCAGCAAGTAAGAACTGCTGCGTGTGCATCAGGAACTCGGTGGGGTTAGGCCTCCAAGGGTGCTGACAACCCGTTGGGTATGGGAAGCTTGCCCCGTCCGCCCTATCCAGTTGTAGGGCTAGGCAGGATGTAAGCTAGCGCAACCGGTTGACATGGTGAACTGTTCAACGCAGTTTGCATACTCCTCCTCCTACATGACACGACCAGGCGGGCTCCCTCCAAGATGGGAGCCAATGTGCTCGACAAAGGTACATACACAAATGAAATGCACACAATCGTGATATGTGCCTCTTCTCGTACTCCCTTCCCCTCTATTTCCTGTTCATGCCAGTGGTTCGCCAGATCTTCAACATATCTGTTTCTCCCTACTTGTCTCTTCCCGTGTCCGTGTGTGTATCCATTCTCATGCTCGCTATAGACAATTATGCCTTTGTGCACGTGTCTGTATGCATGCATGTCGGTGTGTCCAAGTGTATGTGCACACGTCTGTGCATCCGTGTATGCGTATGTCTATTCATATTGCCCACCCGTGTGTACCGTGGACTGTTCACCACCACAACCCCTTTTTTTCACCTAGATGAGTAGATCCAAAATTGAAACAGCTTTTACCTCTATAGCAAACAACATGAAGCAAGCTAAAGCCATCATATTGCCTT